CTATAATTCGGGGGAAATTACACTACACTTGATAACAAAGAAAAACATAAGTAGCAAGTATGGTATCCAAAACATAGCACGTGTCGTTGTTCAATGTGGACGAGTCATGTATGATGTTTGAAAACATGTTTTACTAGTTTCGGAGTAAAATTAATATCCCATGACCCAAAGCGACATCTAGTCATTTTAAACGTATGACTAATGTTTCAACTCATAAGTGCTCGTTTCGGTGCATTTATATTTGTAACCACGTGAAAGTTTAGGGATGAAAGGTTCTATTACATCTTGACATTGCTATCGACACATTTATTCAAACTATATTGAGTCACATCATACATTCGATTGGAAAGTACATTACATTTGACTACAAAGGAAAATGCAACAAATATGGTACACAAAACATAGCATGTACAATAATACAACTTGTACATCTTATCTATAATGTTTCAAACATTGTTTTAACAAGTTTTGGATGGAAATTGATACCACATGATCCAAAATGATATCTAATCATTTTAAACGTATAACTGACATTTCTACTCATTTAGCGTTCGTTTTGGTTCATTCATGCCTGTAACCACGTAAAAGTATAGGGATGAAAGTTTTAACTACATTTTGACGTTGTGGTCGACACATTTGTTCAAACTATAGTGAGTCACTCCATAATTCGATAGGAAATTACACTACACTTAACAATAAATATGCTATACAAAACATAGCATGTACAATAATTTAACTTGTATATTTTATCTATGATGTTCCAAATATTATTTTTACTCGTTTCAGAGTAAAATTGATACCACATGACTCAACACAACATCTGATTATTTTAAACGTATAGCCAACATTTCTATTCGTTTAGTGTTCGTTTCAGATCATTCACGTCCGTAACCACATGAAAATTTATGGATGAAAGTTTTTATTACATTTCGACGTTGCGATCGACACATTTGTTCAAACTATAGTCAGTCAATTCATAATCCGTTAGGAAGCCACGCTTCACTTGACAAAAAAGAAAAACGTAAGTAATAAGTATAGTATCCAAAATATAGCACGTGTAGTTGTTTAATTTATACGACTCATGTATAATGTTTCAAAATACGTTTCACTAGTTTCGGAATGAAATCGACACCCCATGACCCAAAATGGCATCTAGTCGTTTTAAACACAGGGTTACTGTTTAGGGTTTATGTTTTAGGATATAGAGTTTATGTTTTAAAATATATGGTTTACAAAATAGAAAAACGTGCAATTATTCAACATGTAAAAGTCATGTATGATGTTCGAAACACTATTTTATTAGTTTTGGAGTGAAATTCATACTCCATGAGGACAAATGGCATTTGATCATTTTAAATGGAGGGTTACCATTTGGGGGTTAGGGTACAGGGTTTACATTTTAGGGTATAGGGTTTAGAAAACAGAAAAACATGTAATTGTTCAACATGTACAAGTTTATATGATGTTCAAAACACTATTTTACTAGTTTTGGAGTGAATTTGAGATCCCTTGACCAAAACCACATGTTATCATTTTACACGTAAGGGTGCCATTTAAGAGGTAGAGTATACAAAAATATAGCTCGTGTAATCGTTCAATATGATCAAGTGAAATTGAAATCCTGTTACCCAATACCACATGTCATTCCAATACTTGTTTCTTAGTGAGATCGAGGCATCATGACCTAAAATAGCATGTTGTCATTTTAAATGTATAACTGTTGTTTTTCCAGACTGGATAAATTTGCATAGTTAATAATATAATCTATTTTTCCATTGCATAAATATATAAGCTATCATAAAAACTGCAGTTCTGTTTCAACTCTACTACTTAATATTTGAATAAAACATTCATTCAATAGAAAACATTGTAAAATTTCATAGCTACACTAGTCAACATCCATACACCTGTTCCGTAATCAATCATAAAAATCAATACTAACTAAACAAAATTAGCATTCATGCACTTATTTTCCAACTAAATCATATAAAACGTTCCTATCTAGATAAAATAAGCATCTAAGTCCTCTATCTTTCGACTACATAAATTTAAAAAATATATAAAGAAAACAATTATGTTAACTCGGCCATCGAAGGCGAAATATATTTCACCAAAATATATTATCATAGATATACTGGTCAAACTGTAAATATAAATGAAAATTCTCACTAATATACTTATTGTTTCCATCACTTCTGAATTCCCAAGACTAAAATTTGAGGTAACAAAATACTCTTAAAAATAGCAACTTTAGCATAGATAAGATAAGATGAAGCAAAATAGTTCTAAAGCAACACTTACAAGTTATTCCCATTTAAACTTTGCACGAGCTACCACTAAAGCACCAAATACATCTAGTCATCAGAATATACCAATTGCAAGAGATAACTGCCAACTACCTACTGACTAAATGCATACTCCTGCAGAAGTAAATTCTCAAATAACGACGAAAGAGAGAAAAATGACCACGTGGATGTTCTCAAATCAAATGCCAAAATTAGCATGGACCTTTTTTTGGAAAATTAAGCTAATGCTTGTGCCATCAAATACAAACCGTTAAAAGGGTTTGGTAAATGAATGAATCAAAATTTCAAAATGCTCTTATTTCATTACAGCAAAAGTAAACAACTAATCAAAATACTACCATCTAACAAAATTAGCGTCTAAGTCCTATATCATCTGATCACATAAAATTGAAAAATATACAAAGAAAACAATTATTCAATCTTATTATTGGATATAAGTTTTACGTCTAATCCGACCGACAAAAGTTCTGTAAAGTTGATAGTGTATATTCCGTAATCTCATTGATTGACAAGAGATAACTGCAAGCTACCTACTGATGTGTCCGTTGCTTATCTCTGCTCATCATTCAATTGTGCGGCCAAAAACTTTTCTCCCCCAAATATCATCTAACATTGTTTAAATATGTAAGTCTATGAAGAGAGCGCATTTTTTAAGATCTACCTTTAATTTTATCTTCAACGGGAATCACAAACTCAAATAAGTGTTCCATTTCTACAATAAAGAAATCACATACTAAAATGAGTGTTCCATTTCTACAATAAAAGACACAAAATGATCTTGTTAATTAATCAATGAACAAATATAAAAATTTTACAGTAATGTTAAATGATACGTAGTACAATTCATTTTCAGAAATAGAAAAAAATAGGTGAAATTTTCAAAATTACATAAACGGCATGATGCAATTTTCAGAACTATATAAACTTCATGGTACCATGCTGGAAAATTCAACAACTAACATATCAAATATCACAATCTCAACCAAGTAAATGCAATTTACATCATGGAAAAACAGGCAAAACATTACCATATATTAGTTACAGTAAAAAATCACGATCTTTTATTACTCTACCATATTCCATTTAATGCAAATTGCAAAATAGTACCAATTTGTTAAGACTTAAATGATATCACAGAATATCTATTTCATTACACTAATATTGCAACTAACATGACATTTAAATATTTTTAACAAGCAAATACTTAAATATCTAATTTTTTTATAGCACTTTCTATTAAATTGCCATTTTTGTTTCCACTTATCTGCTCAACACTAATTAGAATAAAAAAGAATCATATATTGCAATTTTCAAAATCACCTACGTTATTTACTTATAAGCCCATATGTATATGTTCAATATCTCATACTCAGAACACTCTACTACATATTTTTTTTATCAATTTGCTTATATATCTACATCATGAAGAATAAGCAGAGAAATAACATTTTTTCAAATTTGCAGTTACAGGAAGAAAGTTGAATTGTTAAGTATTTTTGGTGTAATTCAAAGCAATAATGAAAAATATGAAGAGAAAATTGAGTTTCAAAAGTTAATCACAACATACAAAAAAATGAATAAATTTAAAGGTCTAAAAAAGCCCACCTTATTGGTATAATTCTTCCTGGCACAAATTTCTCTAATTTTTTTTGGCATAAAATCGTATTAAAATTGAAAAATTGAGGAATCATTCATACCTGATAATAGCCCACTGTGAAATTGGTTCTTAGAAGTGGTTATTCACATATGGGTACTTTTTTTTTTCTGCGAGTTTTGATCTTGGAAAAATTGATGAAACCTTCATACCAAATTCTTCATTTCACTCAAGAAGACGAAAGAAATCGATTTTAAATGGTAGAAGGATCTAGAAATGAAGAAGACAATAAGAAAAATTAGGGGGGTTGGGGATTGTGAAGAGAGAACAAAGATGATGGATTTAGGATTCTGAAATTCAATTGATTTGAGAAAAGAAAATAGGGAATTAAGTTTTCTAGTGATGTTGAATAAGGGTGTTTTAGGTAGCTTATAAATCTCCCTTTCATATATTTATTTTAAAAACATTATTCTGGTCAAAGGTTAAAATTTCAAAGTGTATTATAATATAGGCTATTTGACTTAATTACCATTTATTTTTTAATTTTAATTGAAAATTACCATTCATGCCCTTTTAAAATTGGTCAAATCAATTTATTGGGTCAACTAATGGTCAAATTAACGGAAATCATCCATTTGGACTTCAAATGCTAACTTTTAAAAGGTTTGAAATTGTGAGTAGCATAAAGTGAAGGTTAATGTAAAATTTGCAAAAAAGCAATATATTTGGGACCACTGCTGCAATTATCCGTTAGGAGCAAGTTTCATTGATTTTGAATGATTATTTGAGCATAGTAACTGCCGAATTAGTAATTCGAAGTTGAGTGTTATATTTGTTGAAAATTAAGCCCCGTTTGGCATCATTGTTATCCATTAAATTATAATTCATTTTTTAATCTTTTCTTATCAATCATACATTATTCAATAAAATAATATTACACGTAAATTCAAAAAAATTTCTTTCTTTTTTAACCACATGTTTTTCAAAAATTATCATTCCTTTCGCTGTACGTGAAATAATTGGGCGGGCGTAGTACTAAATCCGTAAATCGCATCAGCAAAAAATTGAAAAGCCGTTATGGGGCAAATGGGGTTCAGATAGTCCCGTCGTTTGCCCACTGTTGAAGCACAACTCCAATAGCCAAATGTACAACTCCAATCATCTCTGATTTTCTCTCTTTTTGTTTATAATCAACTCTTGTCAGGCCCTAATTCTACTCTACTCCATGCATATATCTGCGTATACATACACAAAGCATTGTATATAGAATTAAATATACATATATGCATTCAACGGAGGACTCGAAATTGAATGCACGAGACGGCGGTGAAGAATACCACGATGCGCTTGATGATTTTCCATTTTACGGCTGTATCGTAACCTTTTCCGAACAAATCGAATTCGACGATTACTTGTCGTATTCGAATAAAACTTCAACTAGGTCGACTCTCCTCCTCCTCCTCCGCCGGTCTGGTTATCATCGGCCATTCTCCGATATTGACACGGTGGAGTACTCAAAGCCTGGTTCTTTGGTGAGTTTGGAGAATTACGCGAATGCCAGAAATAGAAACCGAAGACTATCACGCGAAATTAAGGAAAGCGGGAGGCAATTTCAAAATTCTGAGAATTTGGAGTCTTCTGGTTCTGTGGAGATCAAACCCTGCTTGGGAAGTTCGGAAAATAATTTAACTCGAGAGGATAAAGAGAAAAATGGTGAAGTATCTGGAATTATGAATGCAAACAATGAAAGGATTGTTGTTGTTGGAGATGAGGCGAATTTCAGGAAAGCAGTGATGCAATTCAAGTCTTCTGTTGTTATTATCTGGTATAGTAATAAAAGACATTGGCTTTCAAGTTAATTTGATGGTTGGTTTTTTCATGCTTCCAATTTGGTTAATTTATTACTCATGCTTGTTTGCTATTAATCCCTTTTGGGTTTTAAGGCGTTCTAGACAGCATTTAATTCGAAAAATAACTAGAATGCAGACTTTTGTATGCGAAAACGTGTCTCCATCTGTGTATGAATGGTTAAAAGAGCACAAGTCAATGTGGAATTTGAGCTTGAAATGTGGCTGGAGATTGTTGTGGTCAGGTTATGTTTGTGTTGTATTGATGGGATTGTTGGTTTCTGCATTTGTGATCGGTGCATTACTTATTAGGAGGGTGGTGGAAGAGCCAATAAGAATGAAAGGAAGTTTGAACTTTGATTACACTGAGAAGAGTCCGGTCGCATTTCTACCAATAATAGCATGCCCAGAGGCAAGTCAGGATGCATATCTTTTGAAGAACCCTGAAATTGGGAAGATTGGTGAGCTGAGGGTTATACCTCCTAACCACAAGTTGCAGGTTACCATTTTGTTAACGATGCCGGAGCCTGACTACAACCAAGATCTTGGGATTTTTCAGGTATGCATTATGTGTCATTACCAGTGGTTCTTAGTGTTGTGGTGACCTTTGCATTACGTTATGTTGTGACATTATGTCTATATTAGTAATCTGCCAAATAGATAAGTCCACATTTTCAACTGCATCAAATGCATCTTTCTCAATATAGACAACCAAGTTATCATGCATGCTAGATCTCAAATCTAACATATACACAACACATTAAAACAAACCTAACAATAATCTACTCAACTGAAGAAAGTCCAATCCAGATTAAAGCAAGCCTAACAATTATCCTCTCAAAGTAAGCGAGTTCAAATTAAACATAAGCACATTAAATCAAGCCTATAAATAATCCACTCCAATTAAACAAGTCCAATCCAAAAATATAAACTTAAAAAAATTGTAAGGCAAACCCTATTTTTTTTTTTTTTTAAAGGAATTTTAGAAAAATGCCAAATTCTCCTCCTCCACTTGTGTCCAACATATTCGCTTGTATAATTCCATTTAGTTCAGAATTATTATTCTGCTGCGTTTTAGATTTCTGAGTCTGTGATTCCTATCAGTCCGCAAACTGATATAATAGAACCTTATAATTTTGTGAATTATACGAGTTTTCCCCCATGCCTTGAGAAGGTTGTTTCCTTTCCGTGAGTAGAGAGGTTTTCCACTCATTTTGCCATTTTTGGATTAGCTCATTGCAGTGGTGCTCAGGATAGGCTGTTTCCACATGCAAACAGCTAGCCATACAGCTTTTCCCACATGAGATACCTGTTATGCCACTGACTTGGCTTCGTCTTTCTCGTGTTTGCCATAGTTTTTTTGCTTCCTCATCAAATACCTTGTTTGATCCTTCAAATTCAACTGCATTGACCCTTAGGAAATGTAAATGCAGTGATCAAATTGTGACTTAGTGCTAATTTTATTGCTCAATCGTATTGCATACAGGCATAACCCATATTGTCCTATGCCTTATACACTGGAAGAGGTAAAAAAACATTATATTTCACAGTTTTTTCTTTTTACTAACTATGATCTGGAAAGAGAAGAATATGATATCTGTAAGAACATCATTTATGACAATGCAATTGCCTTTTTTTTCTTTGAAAACTTTATGGCATCATTTTTACCTTTTACTGAAATCTATCGGTCAGTGTCTTCTGGATTTCTGAATGTTTTGTGCTTGATATGTAGTAGTTTGATATAGCATCATGTGACCCGAGATGTAGGAATAAGTCTTTGTTGAATTGGTTGGATACCTGTTTTTAATTATTCAATACTTTATTCATTTTTCCTTCTCCACTGAAGGTTAGAGTAGATTTCCTTGCTGCCGATGGTAGAACTCTTGCAAGCTTAAGGAGTCCATGCATGTTGCAATTTAGAAGTCTGCCTATCCGCCTTTTGCTGACTTTTCTAAAAGTTGCTCCTATTTTAACTGGTTATACATCAGAATCCCAGAAATTGGACATAAACCTCAGAGGATTTATTGAAGGTACCCTGCCAACTGCCTGCTTAAAGGTGGTTATTGAGTAACGAGCTGAATTCCTTCTTGGTGCTGGTATTCCTGAAATATATGAATCATCTGTATCCCTGGAGTCAGAACTTTCTTTGGTGGAAAAACTCATATGGTATTGGAAGAAAACATTAACTGTATGGATTAGCTTGACTCTCTTTACAATGGAGTTGCTTTTTACTCTTCTCTGTTGCAAAACTCTCATTATCCCAAGAATAAGACTAAGGGAAGATTCTCCCAACAATGGTGCTTCACAGAATGATCACTCAGTTCGGGGGTAACAGTCCAGCAGAAACCACATTTGTTGCTAATTTAATCATGGTGAGAGTGATCACAAGAAGTATCTTTCTGTACTTTGACATATATGTATATTATCATTATCTCAATATCCATGTTTTTTAATATGTTTGAAAACGTCTAGATGTAAAAATGCCCAACATGGGGAAAAATATAGTCAATATATGCATATTTTTCTCAATTGGTCTATAGTTTGCTTGCCAGTTCATTTATGTTTGACACATTGCTGAATGAAATCCTTATACAGTAACATACTTCTTTAATACTACTGTGACTGCACTATAAATTTTATTAAGAAACCATTGTCACAAACTCGTGGATTGAACTCACCCTTCACATTAGCTTATAAAGAGAGGGTGCTCAATGTGTTGATAAATCTTCGAGGCATAAACAATGTGGAACTTAGAAATAGTTGTTACTTATGGAGGAATCCATTTCTTCTGTTGAATTTTGTTTTCAGTATTCAGATTTTAACCGCTTTATACTTGGATAAAAGTGTAAGTCAGAATATAATTCACTAGGTGAAGCATTGCAGTATTGGAAAACTAGCCGTCGCAGTTTGCTCGATAAAATGCTCATGGAGGTCAGATTTACTCTGTTCACTCCCTGCTTCACCCCCTATTAGATGAATGAATGGTTTCATTCAGAACACAACTGAATTTGTAAAATAACAATGCCACATAGCCAGAAAATGGGAAAGAAATTTTCTCTTACCTAATACAGCAAGCTATACTAATTAATCCAGAAAATAGGACCTAAGTTATCAATTGGGCCTGTTACGGGCCAAGATCTTGAGGAAAGAAGCAGTCTGGGTGATTTCTCGTAAAGGTTTGTCTGTGAATCTGATGATATTATAGGCCCAAGCACCCGCTATAGCCCCAAGAGTCGGGCCTACTATGTATATCCATATTCCCTCGTAACGATTTGACACTATTGCTGGGCCTAAACTCCTTACTGGGTTCATGGAAGCCCCAGATACTGGCCTGTCCATCAAAACTACCCATTAGGCCCACATTGAAGAATTATAACATAAAAAACAATTTTTGAAAATTCGAAACAGATCGCAAATTCAAAAAACGTCCCAAGATTATGATTATCACTATCCGAACAAGTCTATTATTTTTCTTGATGGCTTGTCTGACACTTTTGAAATCGCTTTCGTCAAATACAATATCTTTATGTAGAACTGATCTCCTACCCATAGTGGACATGAGATAGATGTTCAACCATCGGCATGAGCAGGAGATCAGTTTTGTATCTATATATATAAGAATAGCAAGACAATTGAGCACAGTATTTACCCTGCAAACATCACGTTAAGTAAAATAGTTGCTCCAATGGCTAAACCCGAAAGTTCTCCAATCTGCATGGCAGCACGAACAATAATTAAAAAAAAAGAAAGGTCATAAAATGATTGATAAAAAAGATCCATATCATTGTCAAAATGATGTCATTTGTCTTAACCCCTTTCAAATTATGAAATCACCATCATGATCTCTTGCTAATCCGGTTTTCTTGAATTTATAAACATGAAGTAGATAACTCTATGTTGTCTTTCGAAAGACCAAGAATAAGGTGAAGGAATTACAGCACGGTTGTCTGTAGCCACTCCAGATATGACAAACATTAGGTAGAACGTGATTATAAATTCCATAACAAAAGACTGCAAGTCGGAGCCGGTCGGAAGTGTTCCGGCAAAGTGATCGTGTTTTCCCATGAACAGTAATCTCAGGGTACCGCTTGCTAGCGTGGCTCCGATCACTTGTGCCGCAATATATGCCGGTACCTATCAGGATGAGCACGAAGAAATCAAGAGCACGTTCGTTCAATGCATATAATTCTGTTGAATATACCATCTTCACCTGTCTAAGTGGGAACCTCTTGCAGGTGGCAAAAGCAATGGTCACAGCCGGATTAAAATGAGCACCGGAAATATGGCCAACTGAGTAAACCATAGCCATGACGACAAGTCCCCACACTATTGCGATTCCCGGCTGGGTTATCACCTCCTCCTTATCGGCGTTCACCACCACTGCGGCACAACCGGCAAAAATCAAGAAGTAGGTACCAAAACCCTCTGCAATTACCTACATATATTTTGAGATAATCAGCTATCAGATTGTTATAATTAATTACGAGTAGCAGTTAGTTATACAACCTACTAGCTAGCATTTATTAAGAAGGCATCGATTTCTTCATCGTCTTCAAGATAAAAAAAAAACATATCATTGTCAAAATGATGTCATTTGTCTTAACCCCTTTCAAATTATGAAATCACCATCATGATCTCTTGCTAATCCGGTTTTCTTGAATTTATAAACATGAAGTAGATAACTCTATGTTGTCTTTCGAAAGACCAAGAATAAGGTGAAGGAATTACAGCACGGTTGTCTGTAGCCACTCCAGATATGACAAACATTAGGTAGAACGTGATTATAAATTCCATAACAAAAGACTGCAAGTCGGAGCCGGTCGGAAGTGTTCCGGCAAAGTGATCGTGTTTTCCCATGAACAGTAATCTCAGGGTACCGCTTGCTAGCGTGGCTCCGATCACTTGTGCCGCAATATATGCCGGTACCTATCAGGATGAGCACGAAGAAATCAAGAGCACGTTCGTTCAATGCATATAATTCTGTTGAATATACCATCTTCACCTGTCTAAGTGGGAACCTCTTGCAGGTGGCAAAAGCAATGGTCACAGCCGGATTAAAATGAGCACCGGAAATATGGCCAACTGAGTAAACCATAGCCATGACGACAAGTCCCCACACTATTGCGATTCCCGGCTGGGTTATCACCTCATCCTTATCGGCGTTCACCACCACTGCGGCACAACCGGCAAAAATCAAGAAGTAGGTACCAAAACCCTCTGCAATTACCTACATATATTTTGAGATAATCAGCTATCAGATTGTTATAATTAATTACGAGTAGCAGTTAGTTATACAACCTACTAGCTAGCATTTATTAAGAAGGCATCGATTTCTTCATCGTCTTCAAGATAAAAAAAAAAATTTTAAAATTTAAAAAAAGAAAAAAAACACAACGTACGTATGTACATACCTTCTGTATAAAGGGTAACCAGTTTGGAGAATTTTGAATATGCTTCTCATCCACCAATCCATTTGCTCCTGACATTTCGGCCATGATATTATAAAAAAATTGAGTGATTGAGAGGAAGTCAGGAAGAGAGTTTTTTTCTGTAACCTAACCAAGGAGTGATCAATAATTCAGCAGAAAAATGTCCAATTAACTGGATATATATAAACCAATACGGTGCTGCACAGTTCAGTTTGACTGCATCATGCGATGCATTCTTGATTCTTTCTTTATATGTTATCGGATAATATTCAAATGTGAAAAATCGCCATTCCAGTGTCAGCATTCAAGTCTTCTAATATTCATTCTACGTGGCCCAGTTTGGAATATAATTCTTGAGAATAAATTTTATGAAAAATAAATTTTTTATTGAAAGAATATATGATTGAAAATCCATTTAAAAAATATATATTTTAAAAAAGAGAATCAAACAAAGCCTTCAACAGGTTACAAGTACAAATTTACATCTCAAATTAACTATTTCTATTTTTCGAATTCACTAGAATTTTTTTTCCTTTAATTAATTTTGTTTTTTTCACAAAGCTTGAATATCGGGTGAGTCAATCCAGGTTTTTCAATACTCAAAACTACCAATTGCAATTTGAGTATTTCATAAATGGAACCCGTTACAGGTTCAGTTCCGTTCTTGATGTTTTTACTTAAAAAATTGTTTATTGACAGGAAAAATTATTTTTAAATATCTAGTAGAAATAGAAAAATAAAATATATCGTCAGATACGTATTTCACCGTTTTCTTAAACCAATTCACTACAAATATGTCATCATCTCTACTATAATAACATTCAATTCTGGTTGTGACTTTGCAAGCAGCGTCTCGAGAAGGATTTTTTGGGACGAACATCGTGTATTGTGCGATTAGACACGACTATGAATGAAAATGATATGATTCAATTATTTAAATAAATTAATATGATTCATTAACTATTCGAAACTATTCGGATAAAAAAGATTGTTTTCAACCACACATTTCACATCAATTTACTATTCGAAAATGCATTTTTACAAAAAAATGGGTATCAAACACGCTCATAATTTTAAAAGATAATATTAGTTCTAAATGAGTTGATTCATTCTTTCTACAAATGAGATCTGATTTGTACAATTTTTACTCGTGCAACTGACTTGTCTAAGAAATTATCGTCTCCCAAGAATATTCTAACAAAAGATAGACAATTATGTTGTCGCTATCGAATGATGTAAATTAATGTTCACATTTATGCCCAATCAAAGGAGTGCAGCTGCAATTTGAACATAATACCATCGTTCGAGAGCTTCAACATCACATTTCTTTTATTTTTCTTTCCAAATATCTTTCTTATAGAAATGGTCTATGGAATTCCATATAATTGGTCAATCTTCAGGTTGAAAGGTAAGCAGCTACTTTTCTGTATCTTCGTAACTACGGCAATTAATTAAGAAACAATTAATCAAAACTCTCGATTTTCATTGGTTATAAATATATTCTTGATTTTTTTAATTGGTTTATACGCAATTTATTAATTATTTAAAATTTAAGAATAATACTATGTGAGGTGCATCCCTAATTGGTCCTCAATTCAAATTATGCAAAATTGTCTCCCCATATGCTAGAAATTTATTGTTGACCATGTCGTCAACCTTAAGAATAAAAAAACTTTTAGGTAGAGCATTCTGACTATCTAAGTTAGAAAAAAACAAAACTAGAATATTGTGGGTACGATTTAATGAAATGAAACAATTCTACTATTGATTTTTTTTTATTTTTTTGAAGTGAAAATGTGATTTGTCTTTTGGTGGATGTTATCCTGCTGAAAAAGAAAAGTAGAAAAACAATAACAATGCAAGTTAACATTAGATTATTGAATTGGGAGTAATCAAATTCAAGATGGAAACCATGTTTTTTGTATTTTAATTAATGTTTTGTATATACAATTGATAGTATCTGTATAAAATACTCTTCATTTTGTCATACTCAATCTCAGGGTAGCCTTCCATACACAAGGGCTTGCAAGCTAAGGCACGAGGTAAACGCACAATGTATTTAGGGTAGAAAGCTTGCAATATACCTGTATATTGGACATCGTTAGTGTACTTGACCTTAAATCCGTAGTTAACAATCTTGCCGTGCCACATGAGTAGGGGGTTCGCTCATGTTCATGAAATTTTGTCCTTGTTTGACAATACTTTTTGAAATTATAAGTTTGTGAGTACTATGTAATGTGTGATTAAAGAAATAGATAAAGATTATTATTCCAATAAAATGTGTAGTTGAAAATAAAATTTAACTATCTTAAAATCTTCAAAAAGCTTTGCCAAACAATGGCTTAAATATTGGGTCCAACCCGGATACTTTTGAAATTCATGGTGGACCTTGACAAACTTATAAATCTTGTAAAGTGAATTGCATGTCTCAAATATATTGGTTTTTGAGATCAATTATCCAAATGGTGCAGTGATATTTAACATCAATTTAAGTGAGAATGAAATCACTCACACTTTATCTAACGAAATTGTGATGCCTTTTTATTTATTGAACAATGCAAATAGTGGTCAGACACTACGATGTGTGGTGCTAAGCACCGCTTGTATTAGCAATATTCATCCAAATATTTGTGATTCTATGTATACCATTGGTGATTAACATCCGTTTAGGTGGCACAGTTACATTCTTCAATGAATAAAACTATATTCCAACTTTATTGAACATCGTGGCACCGGCCCATGCCACATTACAGTAATCAACACTCGACTATGATGATAAATAACATTAGTTGGAAAATTTGTGTTCCCAAACCGCGTTAATCCTATCGTAACTAAACACAGCCACTTATTCTTGAATGATGCAGTCAAATTCAACTGGCATGCAAAATCCAACTTCTTACATTCACCAGTTTGAGCAATAAATTCGACAGTGAAGTTTGTTTAATCCAATTCCATGATTCCGTCTTCGCCATACTCTTTTGAAATGTTGCTATGTTTCTCGTAATTTTACGCTCTCACACTTGAAAATTGACTGCTTCTGCAGTTTTAAAACTTTAAATAAAGTTGATCCCATGATTCATGGAGGTTCAATAGCAGGCAAAGACCCCGTGAACCAACCGCACTTTCCCTTCTCATTGTAAGGAAATTGCCTCCTCTGTATTAAGTATTAACTAACAAGGAGGTGGAAGTCTTTGAGTATTAAAGGCAATGTTTGATGTAGTCAACCTTATTTCTAGAATATGATTAAGCAGTCAAAAGCTACATTTTGACATTTTCATTTCTTTAATTAGATCCTTTTATTTCTGGGGCCCTTTTGGTTTGAATAATCATATTTAACACTATTGTTGTAAATTGCATCGCGTGAATAGATTCATTTAGATGTAATGTCACATGATTTACTTAATCGAATCTATCAAATATGGCCATCTAGACTGATGCTCCAATACTACTGGTGTTAGGTAACATTATTCTTTGATTTTTAGGACTTGGGTATATTGCAGCTTTCGTCTCTAACTTTTGATCACTTTTCAAGAAATCATATCATTTACCAATTAAAATTATATCAAGAAATCGTAACCCATCAAAATTTGGTACCTTGTATTTTCAATTGACCAACAAGCATTGCGTTCATATTCGTTGACTAAACAAGGAGGTGGAAGTCTTTGAGGACTTAAGGCAATGTTGACGTGGTCAGACAGGCTCTTTTCTAGAATAGGATTAAGGACTCAAAAGGCTAGCTTTTTTATTTCTTTAGCCCTTGTTTGATGAGAATTAAAATCACATTTTTAGTAGATTTTGATAAAAGTTGATGAAATATGTAATTGAAAAGTTATGTGACCTATAAAATAATTCAATTTCAAACTTGACTTAAGTTTCGACTAACTAATAATCACTTCATGTATCATAATATTTAACACCTCATGCTTGTACTCATTAGCTACCTCTAACATTAACCACTACAAAGGTGGTGTCCCCTTTTCTTATGGCCAAAAATAGTATTGAAAGTTAAATCGCCATCTTAAAGGAATTTAAATCAGCATAAAATTTCGGAGTATTACATTCCTCCCCCCTTAAAAAAAATTTCGTCCTCGAAATTACCTTGAACTTAGTTGAAAAGTTCTGGATACTTGGTCTTGATTTCTTCTTCTCTCTCCCAAGTCAATTCTTCGACATTATGATTCCTCCATTGGACTCTTACTAAGGGAATTTCCTTTGTTCTTAATTGCTGAATTCTGCGGTCCAATCTTGCTACTGGTTTTTCCTCATATGTCATGTTTTGTTTGATATCCAATGGTTGATAATTAAATTAAAATCTAGATATTAATTTGTGCCAAACAGGGACTAATAAGTTGTGTGTTTTCCTTTGCATTGTGTTTAGGGTTTTCCCACAATACAACATAATGATAATTTCTCAATCAAAATTAATTTGAAAGTAAATATACTCTTTAATATTGTCACACCTCGACCTCATGTGGAGCCTTCAAGCCTTACCTTTGGAAATTACACTTCCACATCACCACCTTGAATAGCTGCTCAATATTCACCCCATCACCTAAACCAAGCCTCAACCAATCCATCTCACCTCCTTGAATAGCCTCGTAATACTAACCTCATCACCTTAGCCTATCCACCTTATGCAACCCCTAGGCCGCTTAACACTCTCGTCACCTTGGACGGCCTAAATTGAATGAGCTACACCCACTCAACGATCTTACCCAAGGCTAAGTTCTTGATTACAATATCGCTCTCTAGATATTGTAAGCCTTTTGACGAAGTCAATATTTGGTGATGTAGAAGATCCACCCTTATGGAGACCTAGAACAACCTAGTCAAAAAGAAAAAATGACGCAGTCTAATAGTAGTTTTTGTCCATCAAAGATAATTGCAAATGACTAAAGATCACTCTTCACAACTATCTACCCTTCTGCAAGTTATGTCTGTTGACCTCAAAATTTATCTGATCAAGTGGCCAACAGGATCTCGACTACCTTCCTGTCTACCTAGGTATCACTTGCACGCTAGAACACGTCGTTAGGTGCAAAGGTCACTATCCCAACAAAAGTTTGACAACTATTTGCATTTCAACGATCAAGTCAACTATTAGAATGTGATAGAATGAGTACGAGAGAGATGTGTGAAAGGAAATTTTGCTGGGATTAGAGAATTACCCAACTGCGATTACCTTTGAACATTACTATTTATGGCCAAGAGAAGAAGTGATGTCCATTTGATGCTTGACATGTGACTTCACCATAGCATCTCAATAGTCAAGCTCATATATGCCAATCTCAGCTGTCAT